ATCGTCTTTGTACACTCGATTTCGTAAATGCCTCTCGTGAGTTTTTCTCTCGGTCTTTCATTTGTCGCGAAATCGCGATTGCCGCATCGGAAAGATCGGCAAACACTATATCCTACGTATATCTTGATGCGCTAGCAACAACTTTTACTGCGTATATAATAGACCTCGCATGCATTTCCATGTTCGCGGCCTCGAACAGTCATTTCGCAATAGATGAGAAATTACTAACTTGAGGAAAAAAATGATAAAAATCGTCGCTGTTTTGTCACGTCGTTGAATCCATTTTTATATAAATTGTAATGTTATATTTTTTTATTTATTTTTTATCTACTTATCTTGCATTTATTTTATATTTTTTCTACATTTTTTTCATCTCTTGTTATTTATATTATTTATATTATTTTATTATTTGTATTATTTATATTATTTATATTATCCCTATTAAAAGTAATATTGCGTAAATGTTGAATTACAAGATTTTAATGTAGTGAGTGTATTTCAGCAACGCTGTAATATTAAACGACGGGATTTTGATTTCAATCGTTACATGAGTAGTGAATCAGCCACAGAATATGCTTGTTGTACATATTCGAAGAATAGCTTGTATAGCGGTTTATTTATATTCGAGTCTAATGTTATTTACACAATCGGCGATTTATCTGAAAATACTGCATGATAAAAAATTTTTAAGTAACAAGAATATATGTTTAATTATCGTTACGCAAGACATGTTGCTTATCTTTACTCATTCTTGCGACATAATTCTTTTCGAGGACGATATAAATAATCTGCTCGATAATCAGATATTTAACATGAAACATAAAATGTTGTGTTAGAAAGATAAAGAGAGAGAGAGAGAAAAGATTCTAAATATAAAGTAAAATAAATAATTCTAAAAATAAATAAAGTAAATAAATAATAATGAGAAATATACACATTTCATGTTGCAACGGAGCCTCGTCATCACGGATAAGCTCGGAAATGTATCTACAGCGATAAATTCCCTTTCTCCATCCCGGAAATTATTTTTATCGCGGACAATTTTGGGTCAAAGTGTCACAAATGTCACGAATTATACGAGTAGTTCGTTATTTCACGGTGGTCTTGTATTTTCCGGAAACGCGCCGCGTTTTGCATTTTATCTCGTGACGCAGAGCTCGCAATGTCACATGTTTGTTAAATACAGCATCGGAGCGAGATACGCCTTCGTGACCTTCCTCCGACAGGAAATTCGTAGTTCAATCATAATAAGCGTGATGTAGATAGCGAAAAAGACAAGAGTATTGTTGCGGCAGGCTGGATTTTCCGGATCTGTCATTTCTCACGTTTTTCCCCTCGTAGATCGTCACGTGTGATCAGTTCTCTCTCTACTCGGCTGCTTCTCGAATAGAGAGCTCCTAGAGAGAGAGCTATTTTTCTCAGCGTAACGACGCGTTACGAGATGCACGAGGAAGCCACGTGTTGTACACGAGTGACATGAAATAACATAAATATTTAACGAAACCCTTCCTGCCGAGCTAATATATCAGACGCCAATTATACCCCTTTTTTCTATTTTTATCGCGACTCCTCGACGTGTAAAACTTTGAGAAAGTCGCACTCTCAAATAAATTGATCGTGGAAGAAGAGAAGAGAGAATTAGGATTTTGTATCTTTTATTATTCTTGTTAGCTGCTGAAGTTACGAATTATTTCGCTGATTCGATAATCCAGGAGAGGAGGAAGCGAAGCGAAACGCGCAAAGCTGAGCTCTCCCTCTCGAAAACGTGGCTCGCTTCCTTTGTGCGGAACCTATTACAATTTGTTCCGAAATTTGGCTACGGGGGACGGGATCGTTCGTTAGCCCATAAGGGCGGCGGTATTGTGTTCCATTAATTCTCCAAAGACCAAGCCGATGTACAATAATAGCTCCATTCCGCAGAATTCTGTTCGGAATAATTTATTTCGAGAGAGAAAGAGAGAGAGAGAGAGAGAGAGAGAGAGAGATTGTTATCTACTTATTTGCTACATTTTTTTGCAAAAGTCGCGTGAGTCGAGCGAATCAAACTGTCGCGTTCAGCATCTTTTGCTCGATTACTCGGGATTTATTTCAGACTTTGCCAGGAAATGCTGACTCAAATCAAAAATCATGCGTGCGAAGCGTGGATTTCTCCGTGGTGACAATATTGTGTCACCGTGTTTCCGGCTCGAGATCCGTCACCGGGTACGCTACAAAGCCTAGGCGCATGCGTGACAGTGCCGGTGCACTCGGCAAAGTGCAATGCACCGTGAATAGACTGCCTAGAAACAAATGCCATTATGTAGCGACAGTGATACAGCCGCTTTGCAGTTCCGACTTGGACATGCGTGTAGTTTCGTTTTGTTCTCGAGCAGCGAGAGACCCCGATCACTGCGAGAATCGACTCGCCGCGCGTACCCTCATCCCCCAATTAGCGCCAAATGCGACTGTTCGTTTGTGCTCGTATCGACTACCGTTCGTATATGATTTAATTAACGCGATCAAAGTTCGTTCATTCGGAAAAAACGAATGGTCGCTGCTGGAAGGCAAAAAGCAACAATTCTGCTCGCGTGATAAAAATCGAAATTTTTCTCTCTTAATGAAAATTCGAAATATTTATTTCCTTCAACGTGAAAATTCAAACATTATCGCTATCGCATTTTTAAAATACCTCTGTAATTTAATCGAAACTCGAAGCGAATCAATAAATATATCTATAAATAAAACTATTCAAGTAATAATAAATATATCTATATAAGTATAATAAATATATCTATAAATAAAACTTTTCAAGATAGAAAAAAATAAATTATGATGAAATATGCTAGGAGAAAACGTGATGATATTTGTAATGCGAAGGCCGCTTATATCCAATGCTGGAGAATTGTTGATTTCTATCTTAAACATTAACGTGAAATGCCGGACGAGAAACATTTGTAAGATCGTTACATATGCGAGTCATGAGATACACTTTATATATGCAAATGAATTTTATATGTGCAATTGTGTACAAGAGACTGTATACGGTTGACCTTATTTTAAAGTAAGATAAAAATATAATGTGCGCATTTATTACTTTATTTAATTTTATCGTAGTCGTATATATCGCGAATTGTTTATTATAATTTTATTTATTTAAGATAAATATCCCATTACATGAGATGTAGATATATATATATATATATATATATATATATATATATATAAAATTTATCAGGATGAGATATTAAAAGTACATTTATATATAATTGTACATACTATATATAATTTTTATCAATGAAGGAATAGATTTTATTTATATCAAGAGATTCCTATAAAACATGAATATTTTTGATAAAGAAAAACTACAATTAAAATTTAAAAAGAAACAAGAATTTTAACATATAAATTAAATGTGATTGAAAAAAAATGTATCATCATAACAAATTCTTTATTCTTATTTCCTACGTGATTTGAATAAAAAAAAATTATAATCGCTCAAACTTTCACCGTGAAAAATTATATCTCGAATTAATTAGGGAATTTGTGGATAAAATTTATTCATCCTGCATATCTTGATCTTTATATCCTGGGAGAAATCCTAGCGGTTCGCGATGCTTTTCGATCGCGTTTCTCTCGCGCCTCCTCTTCGATTGGCACACAAAGAACGCACATCTCCCATAAATCTATCTCTGCAGATGCGTTACGCATCAGCGTCAGCTGCTCGCACGAGACGTGCGTGCGCGCTCGTAAGCCACGTGGTCGCGCTAATACGCGCGCAGCAAACGAGCAGTCTCGGCTAGAGCCTGGCTTTTAACGCGCTTCTTAGTCACGCCGTGCTAGTTTTTCGCGGCCGTTCCCTCGGTACACCACTCGTTTCCGCTTTCGTTCGCGAGCAAAGTCCGTACCGTTATCCACAGGTTTGCGCGCTCTTCTCCAGATTTCTACGATTTTCTTTTTCTCCCGAGGAGATAATTTAAAAACGTGCGACGACGTACGTTTCTGTTCTCTCTCTGCCGTTATATTGTTAACAATCGATAGATCTTTCTCATCAGTGATTAACTTGGATCTTTCCACGAGCGGTATCCTCGAAAAAATTCGTCGGGAATTATAGCTTGAAATTAGCATTGGATATTTAAGCGAGGCAGTAGTGTAATTTATTATCTTCGAATGCATTGTGTGTATATAATGCATCATAAATAATAGCTTGGATATTTTGCAGACAAAAGTGCTTTCGCGCATTTAGTGGTATTTTTCCATGTGCTCTTTCCTCGCGTTTTAACCGAGCACACATAACGGAAACTAATACAGGCGAATTCTTGAGTAGGACAATACCTAGTTGTTTTTCCAATGAAAGAGCGTTGTGCTGTTTGTTCTTTGTTTTCTCAGGTCGTCTGTGTGTCTCTCGAACGGTTTATTACCGTCATTTCGTCCGAACTGTTGTCACTTATGTCCACGAAAGTTTTTGAGACGAGATACCTTTGAAAAAGAGAAAGAGGACTGACACGTACGAATCTTCTTCGCTGCACCTGCGCGTAAATCCGTGCGAGAGGCACGCCCAAGAGTATCGATAAACATAAAACTCGCTTATCAGATGAATCCGGCGCAGGTGATCGTAGGTTGCGCCGTTTTTCGAGTCAAATCGCGATCGTCGCGTTTCAGATTCGCTTGCCCTTATAAACCAGATTCGCCGGCACAAAACGGGTTCGAGCCGAGGGATTCGAGCGCGTCTCCTCTCGCGGATCTTCAACGTATCTGTTACGGTGAAAGTTGCTCCCGCTCCTCGTCGCGGGTCGCAACTTATTCGCGAAACGGATGAGCCTATGCGCGGCGAAATCGTTGCGAATCGCGTGTAATTGCATGAAAATTTGAACGAAATCGGATCATCAGATTGAAATCTTCTCGCTCTTCGTTAATTTTACCGTAGCATGTTTCGGGATTCGTATTTAGCTTTATTCTATGTCTCGTACGTCTAAGAAAATGTGGCGAGATATTTTAATCTATTCCTTTCTTTCTGATTGCAGAACAGAATTTAGCTGGACACCACCTGGTACCCAGAAGGCAGTGAGATAAAGACAGGTGGCACGAGAAGAAATCATGGGCGCGAGACAGAGCAAGAGGTCCGTGGACATAACGACGACGCCGAAGAAGGAGGGAATACCCGTCGAGGGAGGCGTCGTCGGTGATGCGGCCGCACCTGGCGACGGTAAGCTGGAAAGGATCGAGGAGGCTGACACGAAACCCACCACTAACGGCATAGCACCGCACACGGACACTGCCGAGGACAAAGAGAAGGACAAAGATGAAGCTACCGAGAAGGACAAGGAGCAAGTGAGTAATATTTAATAATTCCTCGCGTTTCTCGCTGATTTTTTCCAACCTTTTTTAAATGAAATATAAATGAAATAATCGACCTCAGAGATTCTGAGGTCGATAATTCACGATAATTTATTTATAGATATTTCTTAAGTAAAATATATAATTTCACATATTTAATATAATAATTTCATATATTTAATATAATTATTTTATATAATTTCATATGTATTTATATATTTTATATATTTTTTAAAAAAGAAGAAAAGTTCATCGAGAAATACCAGAGATCGCACATTTCCAATTAGCCACCTTTTCAATTCAAAAGTTAATATTGACGATTAAAACGAATGAAGTTTGTCTTGCCGAGTTGAAAGTCCTCTGCTACCGATTCTTGTACATATTATCTTAAAATCATGTCAGTCATATTAGGGTCAAGTGTTTGCACAGGTGATTACTTCGATTTCTATCCGGGCGACATAATCATATTTGCGTTTCAAGTTCTGCTCATACCGATGGTTTTTCATTACGGGACGTATATTAATGCTTTATTAGCACTCGTTCTCGTTATTAATGAACAAGTTTGCTCGCAGATACCATATATCGAGTAGTCGAGTTTCCGGCTTTGATAATTATATACGAATGCTGGGTTGGCAACGAGATGTATGTATTTATTTTCCATCAGCTTGATATACGAGCAATATAACATTGTACATAATTACCTTTCCTACATACGGGACAAGTTTAACATATTTAGATAACGATACTTTGAATAATATGTTCTTTTCACTCGGTTTCCGCGAATTGACATCTTCAATCGCGTTCCAGTGAGTCACTCGTTCAATTGTCGATCAATCTTCAATGATCTCGTTTTCTTGAATTACTCTTGAATCACTCTCGCAAACTGTTACCAACAGACACGTGCTGAATCACTCGTTTGCTCGTAAAGGTCTCATAGGTACTCGAAGTTTATCTCGTTGAGACGATTCATCTGACGTAGACGAATCATTAATCTTAATCGATTCGTCGAAAGCGACGACGCATCAGTTTCCTCTCGCGTTAGCAATCTTTTCATCGGCCTTTATGAATCAAAAAACATGTGCATAGAATAATAAAAAGTTTTATATATGTCTGTTTTTAAAATATTATAGAGATATTTTTAATAATTTGTTTTAAGATATAAATGAAAATTTGCTACAACAAAATATTGTTATTCGAGACGTGCATTTATTCAGAAGATTTTCTTCATGTTCTTTGTGTCATATATCGCTATAAAGAAATTATCTGATATTGGCTGGCGAAAAAATATCGTACAAACGAGACTTTATTTGGCACGCAAATAATGCGTTGCCTTTACGATATTCGGAGTTTACTGTCTTGACCCAAGTGAGAAATGCTCCGGTTCGTTTGCTACTACAAACTGCCTTCGATAATGATCGATTTCCCGTTGGTACGAAATTAAAACTTATGAACGTGAAACTCGGCGCAGTGAATCTTCTTCGCATGATCATTACATCGCGATCAATGATCGCTCAAGCGTGCTTTGATGGCATGATAATCATCATGGCATTACATAAGATGCGATGTAAACGGAAAGCTGGTACGCTTATCGAGCCGATTTATTACACATCATGCGTCAACAGATTAGCGCTTAAATTGCATTTTATTTACCGTAGAGACCAGATAAATAACACAGGTAATCTCTGTTGGCATACGTGTTTGATTTTCATTCGATATAAAGTCCGTTAAATTATTCTTTCGATTACATTTGATTTTCTATTGTGATTAATAATGTAGATATATATTTACACACGTGAAATCGCGTAACATAATTGATTATTATAAATTTAAAATTTTTTATGACTCGTGCTTAAGAAAAAATTAAAAAAAAAAAAATGATTGATTTCAATGTGCAATTTACCAAGTCCACTTTGAAAAAACTGATGATGGCAAACTTGCAGTGAATTTCGTGGCGTTATCAGTTATCTCGTGCCAAGTTTTTAGATCACTCTCCTCGAGTCGAATCTCATAAATGCGCTCGGTTTATATCTCGAAATACTTCTTCGCTTAGAAACTTGATATTTCCCCAATTGAGCAAGCCCGGCGGCAGCTGTCACGCACTAGATACGACACACGAACGAGAACGTACCCTATCACCCCTTCCGCCTGCTCCTTGCTTTTCATTTCCCTTCGACAAGTCATTTCTGTTCCTCTTTCCCTCCATGCGTTTTCTACGGTTCACGACCGTTTAAGGCGTCATTTACTTCGACAACCCGAGCGAACATTTCCCCCTCGTCGTTAACGTTCCAACTTTATTTTGAAAGAAGGGCGTAGGAATTTTAGTCAAAGCAATCTCTCTACGTTAATCAACAATTTCATGGCAATATTTTATCTCGATAATATTTTTATATTTATATGTACTTTTTTCTGAAATACATAATCTAAATTATTATAAATAATCATTAAATTAAAAAAAAATTTTATGCGCATTTTTTACATTTTTAATCGCGCGCAAATCAAATTGATATATTATGTTGAATCATGTCTTCTCATTATCGTTTCATCGAGCAGGAATTTACTCGTGTCATGCATATCAAGTCGATTATATTCCTAGAACGATAACGAATATTTTATCGTTTCAATAATTAAAATCTCATTACTATAATCTACGTTTCTGAGTCACGTGAATTTTTCAAGTGGTTGTCACTTGTGAATACCAGAAGCGTCTGATTAAACGGGCAAGATTGCACCGCGGTACGAGATCAAGAATGAGGTAGGTCGCGATGTCCATTGAATTTTTGACAAAAAACGAGAAAATACCGTTTGATTTTGCGTCAGCGTGTAAGTGTACCTCGTCGGTTGACTCGTCCTTTCCCGCGACTAACTGTACGTGTCTCGTGTTCTGGCTTCTTACGGGGGCATACCTAACTGTCCCAGACGAATAAATCTTTTCTCTGTCCCCCTTTTCCCCTTCGCGTTACTATTTTGCGCGCATCTTGACCACGAATACGCGATCGATATCGATCCTCATCGCGTTACATCGCTGGCTTCAGCAAGTCTTCTCGTCTTCTGATTTTTTTATGAATTACAAGTATCAATAAAACGTTTACGTAATACCCTTAAAAATAACAATGATCCGTTATAACTCAAATACTGTTCTCGACAAGTTTTATCTTTCAATTTTCTCGTTCTCGCGCTCCTTCTGCGACCTACATTTGGGTTTAGGTATGTCAGTTGTATTAACATGACGTTACATTTACCTCGATTCATCGAGGTAACTCATAGATACTCATTTCCCATCGACTAAAGGATACTCTTACATGTCTGCATTAGGATTCTTGCGGTTCACGCAAGTTTGTCGAGTGGTACGTTTGTTTGACATCCGAGATTATACGCGAGTCTCTCATGAATATTCATCAGCTGCTGGCAGCGCCTTTACTCGCGATCTTACAAAATCTTCAGGCAGGTGCGCGTGCGAGCTAAATACTTGAGAGTTAACCCGCCCGTCTCGTCGAGCACCTGTCTTTAATATATCGCGCTGATAACGACGAATTAAACGCGATCGAGTTTTCTTTTTGAATGAGAATTTGCGATACGATCGTGCACACGTATTCTTGTGTAACGAAGTACAAGAGAACACACTTGAAGCTATGAGCCAGGTAACAAGCGAGAACCGTGTGAATCGCGACCTTGACCATGATATACTTAATGCGATCGCAGATGGACCACTTGAAAACGCGATAAAAACTTTTCACGCGAGAAGGAACAATTATATATATTTCATTTTTCATTCAAAATATTTTACGAAAAATAGGGAAACTGTAATAATAATTTTTTATTAACAAATAGTAAATTGCCTTTTAAGGGGCCTACAAATTGAATTATAGGTTGTTTTAAATTCTGTGCGAGTTTGCAAATTTTCTCTGATTTTTATGTAATTTGTGACATATCGAGGCGCATTATTAAATATATGCGATTATCATGAATCGCAATAAGATGTCGATCCGACCCATCGGGCCCCTCCCCGAACGATGAATCAGCCGAACGGTATCACATAGATATAAAGCGAGGTATTTCATTAAGAATATAATTAATTAAGTGCGCGGACACGATGATATCTTAGCATCACGTGTTTTGTTGATGAATCATCGTGTATAACTCGAAGATGCGAACGTGCTTTATTAATTAACACGACCCGTCTGTTTCGCTGCCATTTAATAGCAGTTGTTATCCGGCTGAATTCCTATAATTTTCTTCTATCTCGCATTGTCGCGGATAAAATCTGCCCTTGCAGTGTTCGCTGCGATTTCAAACGCGATTTCCCGATTAAATTTCCAATTTAATGTTACGGCTTTTAAATATCAATTTTTCTATAGAAGCGTGTAAATTTTTTACGCTTCTCGCGATTTTAAGCGACGATATATATCGCCTAGTTAATTAAACGCGGATTTGGATTAAACGCGTCGATCGTGACGACGATTACTCAACGCTCGGGAATTTGTTGATGAAACTACGTAAAACGCAGAACAGGTGTGCATATGCAGATGCGATATACGATACGCAAAGGAATTTATTGCGAAAATCTCGTATGCGTGATCGATCTTCATTTAAAAATCTACTCCGTCAATTTCTTTATTATTCCAATATTATGCGATCAGCTGCAGCAAGCGTATTTATCCCGCAAGGTTTACCTTCCTCCATGTCGTATCTCTGCTCGTGCCGTATCTTTGAATATTAATTAATGGTAAACTCGCATGGCCTCTGAATTTTGAATCGAGCTCTCTCGACAAGGTTTCCATTATTATTTACTTACGTTTCCCGCGACAACCGGCAGAATCTTAACTCGTTATTTAATTTTACACCGAATGCGATATTCATACTAAAAGAGTGCAATGAATTGATAATCACGTGACATTTGATTGTATTAGACGTTCCATCGATTTTAATTTTCGCTGTTTATATGACATGGAGAACAATGCTTATCAAAAATCTTGCCGGTATTTTATGTAGATAAACGATCTTTTTACCTTTGATGGCTTTTTGTAGCTTATGTCGATATAAAGTTTCGCATTCGTGCAGTGCCAACGTACTCATGCGGAAGCATTTACGTCGAGGAGTACTCGGCTTGCACGTGTCTCTCCGTCATCCTTCCTTTCCTCCCCCGGCTATTTTGCTCGCTGGATATTGCGGGGCTTTTCGCCATCGCGAATGCTAAAATAAGCCGATATTTACATAATATAATGCTCGCAAAATGCGCCTGTGTCGAGATTCGCGTCGTTTTACCGGCATCGACGAAGAAACGACGAGGCGAAGAACGAGACGAGACGAGAGGGAAAATGACATCGTGCAGAGATGCCGCGTTACTTGTAATCGAATGTGACGGCGCGTCGCGCCTCGCTTGGTCCATTGTATAAATCAGGAAATCCGCCATCTAACGCCCACGTTGAATTCATATCGTTCTTAAACACGATGCCGTTGATGTCGCTCGATTGTTCGTCGCGTTGCATTTTATCGCGCTGTGATGTATTTGCGTCCGCGTGCGTGCGTGTCGTATCGGATAAACATATGAGATTGTTTTCGCGTATTTGCATCGATAATAAAGTAGCTTGGAGTTTACGCAATCGACCAGTCACCTGCCCCGATTGGCGAAACAAGCTGGTTCTGCTGACAATACTTGTCGGCGTGATCGATTTTATCGATGGGAGTTTGAAAATGACAGATGCAGAGATATGTAAATGATGAAATTAATAAATTTTGTAATAAGAAGTCTTTTCTAATTTTGAGAAATTTCAAGAAAAGCTTTATTTTTACGAAAGATTTTTGATGAGAAACTCAAATAAAATAGTTTTGTGTTATGAAATAAGACTCTCATCTCTGTAAAAACTTAGATAAAAGACGAGTCGTAGATTCAGGGAGAGATGCCGAGAGGATTGCTTGCTTTTTCAGCTAGTTTTTGAGAAGCACATTTTTAACTAATATAAATAATATTTTGTCCATCTATTTAAATTACAAGCTGATCATAATTACATATGTCAAGTTAATCAATGCTTAACAATCGCCTTCCTCGTCAGAATTTTTTTTACGAATTTGCGCAAAGATTCTTGTTTGCCACTTTTAACGAAGGTATAACTTTACACTGCCGAGTCAAAACAATTAAGGAAGAATCATAATTTAACATGGTTGTTCATTTAATTCTTTTTAATGATTTCTCCGATCAGTCGTAATCGAGTGGTATGATTTGTTGTGTAAAGGAAAGCCGACGAGGTATTTTTCATCGACCTGCATTTTTTTCTTGGCAACTTTAAGTTGGCCGATAAGACTAGAAGAGAGAGCTTGTCGAGGACTTTTTAAAGGATCGAAAACAAAGAGGCCTCTCGCGTTGCTGGGCGCACTTTACGGGAAAACTAACACGTTTCACGAAAGTTTGATATTATTTATAAGTGAATGAACCTCGGGGCGCGCACGATGGGAAAGAGTTAAATGACTTCGTTCCGGAGTGGCTGCGGCACTTCCGGATACAAGGGAAACTTTCAAGAAATATACAAGCATCATCATGAAAATGTATATGCTTGCGGGCATTAAAGCCTGTTCGCGTAATCAATTTTGCTTAACTATAGTTACTGAAAATGAAAAGGAAAATGAAATTTTCAATATCATGTAGCTTCTAAATTTCGAAGTAAATTCACGAAGAATTGAAATATAAATTTGTTTTTCGTTCATATCGTCATCATTTTTTTCATTACAAGATGTTATAATTTTTAATCAATTTTCTGAGAGAGAGAGAGAGATTGTTATTTTTATTAAAATCGTTAATAATCTAATTTATATTTAATGTTTTATTAATGGTTTTATTAATCAAGTATACAGTAGGATTTTAAGATAATATAAGATAGAAAATATTCAATTTTTTGCTAAAATGACTTTAAATAGATATCTCCTAAAAGGAGCTGAAGAGATGCGTCTAAAGTAAGCTATCAACTGAATCATAATATTTAATCGCTATCGTTTCGCATAAAACGGAGAAATCTTACCCTTGCAGGAAATGCAATGAAACGTTACACGATATCGATTTACGACATAGGATTTATGACATGGAATATATTTTGTGGTACTGCGCGTCTTTTTATGGCCTCATCTTCATTCTTCATGCATGAAAAAAATCTCCGATGATTCATACTATTTTTGTTGATCGGTTCTGACGCCGATGATTCACATTATTGTTGCAAGCATAAAACATACACGTATCATTGTTTCTTACTTACTCATTAAGCATTGGCAGTAAATTTATAGCTCATAAGAGCTCGTTAATCGCATAGCATTGACGTTTATTTTGGGAAACGAAATTTGAAGGGCTTTATTTCTGTCTTTCAGCAGCAGCCGCAGGAAGAAGAGGTAAAAGCCGAGGAGACGAAGCAAGAGTCGTCTGGAGAATCTTCTGCGGAGGTTGCGGAGGTCACAACGCCCACAGAGGCCACCCCTGCCAGTCCGAACACTGCCACCTCTCCAGACAATAAGGAAACCAAAAAGAAGGATAAGGTAAGGCAATCTGCGTCATAATTCCATTGATGTTCATTGATCTGAATTTAATTATTTAAATATTTTAATAACAAGTAAATCTCTGCGTACGTCATGTTGTGGAACGTATTAGTATTTATATTAATTTAAAGTTGTAAAAATGAAGAGGATAATTACGTGCGACGAATCTGTCAATTACTAATAGTCTCTTTCCCTCTTTTATCTCCTGTCTAGAAGAAAAAGTGGTCCTTCAGGTCGATCAGCTTTAGTAAGAAGGATAAGACTAAGCCGAGTCGCGAGGAGGCGCCCAAGAATGGAGATGTCACCAAGGAGGAGCCGCTCGCAGAGGTGAGTCGAGAATTCTGCATTTGTGCGATTATTAGCGACTAGGATATATTTGCAAATATACAGACTTCTCCTCAAAAATAATCGGAAGAGATATTTTAAATGTTGTATTTTGAATATTATTATTCTACTGTTGCAAAAATATTTCTTTTCACGAGATAGCGAGATATATTTGCGATTATGTTTTTTTTATCGTTATTGTTCGTACAGTGAAGCATATTGGAGATTTCTCTCGAAATTGAAACATTCGAAGAAACACACATATTTGTAATTTAGCTCTCGTATAGTATATATTGGATATAATTCCGCTTCTCTCATAAATTTTATATCTGTGCGCTCGGGTATATTTTCGCAAATAATTATCGCGCATCCAACGAGATCAATTTTACTCTGGTTAATTGCGCTTATTTTTATCACATCATGACGCATCGCGTTTATGCTCGAAAAACAAAGTCGTTGTTTTCAATTTCGATCAATATACATGTTGTCGCTCCTTGTTATCGATGCGACGACGAATCAATCTGCGCGACACACGGTTACGTAACACGCTTCAATAACGTTACGGCTCGTTGTCGTTGGGAATAAAACGTTCGCTTCGATTGAAACGGATATCGCACGGATATCGAGGCAAATTTCAGGACAAGGTAGCGTAAAACAAGCGCGTACCAGCTCAGAGCGCGAGAAAAACGACTTTACAAGCGGCAATGAATCTCTCGCCCTGACCCCGTTTCGACTTCCTCCATCGTTTTCCCGATCGAATAATCGATCTGGCCGGCTGCGTCGAAAAAGTCTCGGTCCAATAACGGCCCGTGTTTACTCAAGCATCGATGTTTCGTGTTTCCCTTGAGGTTCGTGCCGCGGGGAGATAATCGCCAACTACCACGCGATAACCGTCACGGATCGAGGGCTCTCGGACGGTGCTTAATTGGCGTCTAAGACGTCCGATAAATCTCGGAGGCGTTCGCGATTTATCGGAGATTCATTCGGTAAAGATGACGAACTGCGCGCGCGAGGATTTCGCGTTAACAAAGTTATTTGTCGGATATCGGCTCGGGAGTCCTCGCTCTGCGTGTTTGCGGTTAAAGGAAGGAAAGGAGGAGGATAAAACTCTCGATATCATCCCCCATCATCGTTGTCGCGCGCGGAAATGATGAAGTATTATGCAGTGCACGTTATATGTATGCCTGGTGATGCTGGCGGGAAGGTGGAGGGAGGGGGGGGGACCATTACAACGGCGACGGGCTTTTCACGAGCTCCGTGAATGATGGAGCTCACTTTGTAGACGTTATTATTAATCTTCGTCGAGCGCGCGCGGCTTAACAAGCTATTCCACGTTACATGCGCTTTATACCTCGATCGACGCGATTATATCGGGTTATATAGATTGGCGATGATCGCGCAAGAATACCCCAGGACTTTATCGGGAGCTTAATTGGACTGCGATCATTTCGCGAATAGAAATTAGCGGTATAACGAGTGTATTATACGATAGATACGAGCGATAAGGCCATAGAGATCTTTGATTCAATTTACAAAATTGTTTTTTTTTTTTTTTTTTACAAAAGATTAAAATGGAGATCTCGTTGATATCTAGAGATCGGAGATTGATGCGAGATTTAGAAAGCGTCAATAATGATAGGGTAACGTGCGCCTCGCGATCAAACTGCTGGATCTGCATCGAAAGCTCTTAACCGGGCGCTTAATTATCTCGAGGCGGCAATGAATCTCGTTTGTCTTTCCGGCCAGGGACCGACAAGTTGCAGTCTCTCGCAATAAATCCACTTGCCGGCGGATGTATAATAAGTAGCGAGGTTATAAGCTCTCTTGCCTTTCTCTCCCGCGTTTCTTTCGCGAATCTCTTCCTCGTTCTCTCTCTCTCTCTCGCTCACTCTGTAGCTCCTTGTCTTATCTCGCTCTCAAGATCCGCGCGTAGGCGAAATCTGGCGACGGCCGATCATCTCGTTTCCTTCACCGCCACCGTCATCCTACCTCTATCATTCTATCTCTCGCAGTACGGCTGCACTCGCGTGCCCGTCGTGGGCTCCTTTCCCTCCTTCGCGCGACCTCGGCGCGACAGAAAGAGAGTGGGCAGAGAGGAGAACAGCGTGACTCATCTCTCCGGTTCGTCGTACCTCCGCAAGTTTTGTGATAGGCCGCCGTGGAAAACCGGCTCTCCTCATCGCGCGTGGCTAAATTACTCCCCCCCAGGTCGTCTGCCTGGCTCGCAGCCTCCGGCTTGGACTCTCCGCGATACCTGTCCGTCGTGTGCGCGTCGACCATTTGTCTATTAAATCATTGACAGTGGCTCGATATTATATGATTGCCAGCTTCTAATCAAAATAGAAATTTTTCGAAAAATTTTGTTGAAAATTTATGCAACATTGTTGTCCAATGTGATAAAATTATAAAATTACTGACATTCTCCAGCGTTATCAATCGGTTGGAAGCAGGAATTCCGAATCGTTAATGATCCCTCGGTTGCGAGGGTATGGTAATGACTGTAGGGACTTCATTAGCGTTGTAGCGTTATTTATAGACCATATCTTGCGGTACTTTTCGCTTTATCGACGGACTATCGGCGTATCATTTTTACGTCCGTTCCCGCGCTCATTTATCACCGCGAGTGATGGATGCGGTCGTATCACTCGGACAGTTGAAAACACGCATTCTCCATAGCGCGAGATGGACCGGGACGGCCTCTTACAGAAGAGAATCCCAGATATTTATAGCAACCTTGGTGAACCGAACCCAGTTGTTGCCCCTATTCGTTATCGTTTGCCTTGTTTCAAGCGAGTTCGGCGAACTTCTCTAATTAATAATTAGACAAAACAATTGTTCGATGAATTTATTCGATGATAATTTTTGATAACGACGCTAGCTAACGCGACGCGCGAACAGAGAATACCTCGTTATCATGGGACAAACCTCGAATCATCGAGTCAGTCCATCCGGTGGACTTCGCCGCGACTTTCACTCCCTTGGAACAGCCTGGCATTCCGGAGTCATTAAGAAATTACAAGTGTTAGTGTGTATCCACGCCATGCGAGGGCCACCATAATAGCAAAATGTCATTGTCGAGCGTATTATGACGACCGTGCGAAGGAGCTTAATACATGGATTAGAATTTTTCTGTGATATTATATAAAATATGAAAAAAAATTCCACAATCTTGTTAAAGAAATTTCTTTTTGATCACTGATATTTTAAGTCGTTGCGTTTTTTATTACATAAAACGTTCTTTGTGCTGATATTTTGATTAGTACGATGATAAAGATAGGTTTTCTAGTCGCTTTTTACGATGCAAAATTATTCGAGATTCGATTTTTTTTCATTACACACACGTTTCGGCTATATATTTTTCTGTCTTTTTACGTTTATTTCGTCTCAATTGGCGGCGAAATTTTCAATTCAAGGCAATTAACTCTTAATTCACCTAAATTATCTCCTCACGCATTCTTATGTCGGCAAGGCGTCTAAATCCTCTCTGGTATTCGTCACATCTTCATCGCCGTCACCGTTCCCGGTGTAAAAAGAAGCGGGTCGAGGCAATGTAATGTAATTGTATTACTTAACGTTCCACAAAAATTAATTTAAAACGAAGTACATCTGTCACGAGCGGAATGTCAAGATAAAAAAATAATGCAATTAGAGAAATTACAGCGAGTCGATGGAGTAATCGTTTCGCAAAAACATCGTCTTTATTTAACGAGAAACTTAATCATTTAGTCTCAATCGATTTATTGGCAAAAATTCAATATTCCATTAACATCTTTAATTGGAGAAAACATTCTCGCGTTATCAAGTCATTTAGCAAAAAGAGATTTTTTCATTAAATTATTCTGAAATCAAAATTTCACGTGTACAATGTATTCTTGTACTTGCATAATCTCGTTAAGTGTTTAAAAATTACTTGTTTGCTCCGTAGATTTAAATTCTGTTTACCGAAAGTTAATTTCGCGCAGGAAGAAAGCAATGATATATATCTAATATTCCTTCGATAAATTTGTCCTCTCGACGTTGTTTCTCGCGGTCGACTACCTCGTCTCCCCTTTCGCGACTCGGACTTGCGTGTGCGGCGCTTTTTTGCAGACGCGAGACGGCTACGCGCGCCTCGTGACGCGAAATGGAAATGGGAGTGGTGTGCGTGTTTCGAAGGATACCCTCGTTTGAACCTTGGGGAGTATCATGACGACTAGATAGAAGCGGTTTCTGATCGATCGTATCACGTTTTTTCTTTCTTTTTCTTTAGTCCACGTTTCAGTGACGTAACGTCGTTAATTATTTCATAATATGTGTAACATCGATATCACACTCGTGACGCACGTATCCGAGACGCTAATGTTGTAGATATTATGATAAGGTCCACGACCCTTGGGCCAATTTCCTACGGTCAACGTGGTGTGTCTGCGGGGGAAATCGGTAACCCCGGTACGCATGTACCGGTCAGCAAGCGTGTCTGTCGCTCATTGTGTTTGTGCCACAGCAGCACGGTTCAATGGCCCAAACTTCCCGGATATACTTACCTGCGACGCGCTACTTTCCTCGCGGAAAAAAGAACCGTGTCCGTATTAAAATCGAGACAGATGAAAGATTTACGTGACGAGGAGTTGTGCAGGATTAACGAACGTTCGGCGAATTTAAAGATCGATTGCGTGTGTAATTGCAGAAAAATATAACGCGCCCGGTATTTTTTTTTTTTTTTTTTTTTCCTTTCGTCCGTTTCCTCCCACGGTCTTTTGCTCATCGTTACGTACTTATTTATGACCGCGTAAAATCTTAAGGGCGAATTCGACGAAAGAGAAAGAGAGAGGAAGAGAGGAGAACGGGAATAAAAGTGTCGAGCACACGCGGAGCGAAGAGAGAGCTCGATTAAGCAAATTTATATCGCCGTGTGAATTATAACGCCGGGCGGATGATAAATATCGCGCCCGTATATTTTTAGCCGGACCGCGCCCTTATTGCGGTCGCATTGCGATTATGTGGATAACGACATTAACGAATCGGACGTGTTGGAGTGGACGAACGCTCGATTGAATTCATTAATC